TATTGAACCACAAAGACAAAAGGGTTTACATATAAACATGAACTAATACACAGCTTTGTTTTGCCCGAATTAGCCCTATCGGAAATGTCGGAAGGTGATTTCTAGGCAAAGACTCCATATATCAAATAACATATTCAATCAAAAAAATAAATAATTCTACTTTAAATATTTTGACTATATAATTTTAAAATTACTAATTAAATTCTTGGAAAACAGGTGAGTAGAATTGAGATGTGTTACCAAAGCTTATACGTTAAATTGAAATCTGCGTCAGATTAAAATTTCAATACTGAGTTTAATTAGGGTTAGGGTTAGGGATGTTAAGTGGTTCGTTCAGTCCAGTTCTGTTTCAGTCCCAAGGAGTTCAAGGAAAAAACGAACTGAACTGAAGTTCATGAACTTTAGTTTAACTTTAAAGTTCAAACTTGAGTTTGAACTTGAGTTCATAAACTCGAAGCATAGACTTCAGGCTAGCTTTAAGTTCAAGCTCGAGTTTATGAGCCTAAGTTCATTTAATTCCATTCGCTTGAGTAATTTATTATATATAAACTCATTGATTGATAATCTTTAAAATACGTAGCGATTAAATATTAATAAAACAAAATTAAAATGATTATAATGTATTCATTGCTTAAAATATATAGTTTATATACTTTAATTTGATATATTCCAAATATAATAATAAAGATCAATCCAAAAATTATTGTACCAACAAAACCTGGGCTTTTACAAGATTCTAACTATATTATATGGTATAACGTCATTAGAAATAAAATAAATTATTGAACACATTATGATTTAACTAGTTCGTAAATCGAGTTTCTAAATAGTTTTATAAATTAAGTTTATAAACTAGATTTATAAACCAAGTTTATAACTAGATTATAAAACTAGTTCTAGAACTTCTAGTTAATTTTTCTTTGAACGAACTACTAAAAAAACTAGTTTGAACTAGGTTCAAACCCGGATCATCTGAACCACTTAACATCCCTAGTTAGGGTGAAACCCTATGTTAAGGTAAGAGTAGGTATTAGTGGCATATAAATATTTTGATCTAATGCAAAATTTTAATTTGACATATAACCGTCTGCGCTAATTTTTTTGGTAGCTATTTCATTAAAAACGGTCCAGTGGATCAAAAGCTATCTAAGATTTAAAAAGGTGTCAAATTATATCTGTTTTAGTACAATTGCAAAAATTAGCGCAGACGCAGAGATTTAAGTTCGGTTATATAGGTTAGTTTTTTTGATGAATTTCTTAATTAGTCGTTATTAGCCAACTTGATCAGCTTTGAACAATAAAAAGGACTAACAATATAGCGCACATTATTTAATATCATTATTAAAAAGTTACATACGCTTTGCACACATTATATTTTTTTGTTGTGCGCAAAAAATTTTTATGTGTGGAGTGCACATGCACACATCGCATAATAGGCACGGATAAAAAATTATAACAACACTAATGGGTTCGCAAAAAATTTGTAACACGATAAATTTATGATTTGCGAAAAGAATTAATTTTGCATAAAAGAGTTGGTTCGATATCTATGATCGTTTTAGGTGTGAGATATAAATTTAATGAAAAATTTCTAATACAAAAAACTCCCGATAATTTCATAAATTCTGGAACAACACTAATTTACTATCATAAACCCTCATCACTAAAAGTTTTTTTAAAATAATAATAATAATAATAATAATAATAATAATAATAATTCTAATCATAACCGGAGTAACAGTTTACGGTTTTTTCTTTTTTAATTAATGATTTTGTAACCATAGGTTATAGTAACTAAGATCTGATGCAATGTGACTATCCAAATAATCTTTTTATAAAAATAAAGTCTTGCGGTTAGGATTGGGGCAGGGCTTAGTTTGTACTGTATCAAGGAATTTTTTTTTGTTGAAATGAAGAAATGCTGAAATGAATTCATAATCCAAAAAACAATTTTGTTTTGATTTTGCGTTGCACCTGATCTTTAAAATTTAATTTGCCTTACGAGATGCTGTTACAATAGCCGTGGTCACAATTTATTATTATTATTTTTTTTTTTACGTATGATAAAAAAAAAAAAAACAACTCCGCTTTTGATAATTTCTAAAAACAGGAATAGTACGTACGTACGTACGTAAGCGCAGACAGTCAAACAGGACCTAGCTATTATTGTTAAGATCCGATGGTATGAAATTTCATAAAAAAAACAATCCATTTAAGTAATGCCCCGCATTGGCCAGCCGGATTTGTAAATATGATTATATGTTTCTGATAGTCCTTAACAAGTAGTGATGAAGCAGCAGAATAATTAACTTGATAAACATGAAAAATATCATCAAACGTAAACAATTGACTTACTGACAGAAGTAATGTTGCTTCCGAAAATTTTAGCAATTATCCAAAGATTTTACCCGGTAGCATTAGCGGATGCATAATTTGAAGTTTAATGTAAGGCAAAATAGCTGTCATTGAGCCAGTTAAAATTTTAAAATCCCATATCAGGCATAACTCCGAGAGCGGGATACGAGAGCTTATCAATATGCATGATTGTTTATCCATATGACCAATATGCATATTTTAGAAACAATAAATTTGTGTAGCTTAAATATCGGATTTTTTTTTTTTTTTTGGCGTTGATAAGAAAAACAATAAATTTGTGTGGTTAAATTCGTGTGACTACCTCCGATATGAAAAACCCTAAATACCGGTGTTTTTTTTTTTTTATAGATAAAACCAATTACGCATTTTAAAGTGCCAATTTTTAACATATTTGACCATAAAAACTGCATTATAAAAATTATGTAGTAATCCACTATACAGCTATATGTCTCATAATGAATCCGATAATTAGTTCTACGGATCACAAACGCAATAGCTACTTTTTCGACAGGGTAGTCTTATGCTATTCTATCGGTAATACTTTTCCTAAAATAATAATATGAAGTGCAATTTATGTAACAATTTTAGATGGTAAATACGGATACAAAGTAATGGCATACGTATCAGATCTGCACAGCCTGATAAATAGAGGAGTCACATTACAGACTCAATTTGCGATATGTAAGTTCAGCGCCACACTAATTCATAAATACTGTATATACGGTCTATACAAATTTTTGTTGCATAATAGGGGCGGATAAAAATTATAAAATTTAAGCAACGCATATAGTGGGATCACAAAAAAATTGTAACTCGATAAATTTATTATTGCAAAAGAAATTAATCACACATTTTGTAAAAAAGTTGGTTCGATATCTATTATTTGCTTTATATATGAGAAATCTTTTTTAATGTCGGTTTTCATAAACCAACCATTTTCTGATACAAAAGAATTCTTTGATGTCAATGTTTAATGATAATATATTTCATCACATTAAAGTCGGTGATCATAAATTTTATCACGGAACGTTTTGTTTTTTAAAAAAATAAAACGTTACACTACTTTCCATATGATTATTTCTCAAAATGGAGTTAAGGTAAAATCTAACTACGTAATGCTGACAATGCAGCAATGTCGATCTAGCCATTATTGTTAGTTCAGCGCGGCAAATTGCGATTTGATTTGATTGTCGATCAGATATATAAATAACAGTTCCATTTAAGTTAGTAACGGTAATGTACGCATTGGCCAGCCCAAATTTGTTATATGCACCGTCGTTTAGTAACGTAAGTAGAGATGAAAGCTATAATTATGGAACAGTAATTAGTTTGAAAAGTATGAAAATTGTAATAAAATGTGACATATTTCTACAAAATTTTAGCATTTATTAAGACTTCGGTTTAACAAAGCATAGCTTGAAGTTTAAGACAAAATAGTGTCACTTTATTCTGTTCATAATCTGTTTATCTATACGCACTACACCATCTTGAACGTTTTCAAAAATTCCATAAAAACGATTGGAGATAATTAAAATCAGGAATAACTTCGAAGGCGGGAGATAATTATTACTTTAGTACTTTATCAAAATAAGAGCTTATCAATATGCATGATTGTTTATTAACCATATGATCAATATGTATATTAAAGAAAGTTAACCGTAAATTTGTCACGTCTTTATTACAAACAAGTAAACAAAACCAGTGTGACAACTTCCGATATGAAAAAACCTTAAGTACGTCGTACGTACTGGTTTTTTTTTTTGACATACAGAGTCAATAAAATAAGCATAAATTTTTATAATTAAAGTTTTAATGTTTTATACTATAACTTGTGTCATACTCAAATATCAAAGTTGATTTTGTTAAGTAATTTGTTCGAAGTTTTGAAAAAACTGTTCAAAAAAATTTTCGATGATTTGCTGATATCGTATTCTATCGCAAATAAGCATTACTCCTCTACCCCACTTTTTAAATGTCAGTTTAGCGGAAATTGCAATGAATTCTTTAGCCAAGTTATTCCCGATAATCTGATATTTGAAAAAGTGGGATAGAGGGGTGATGCTTATTTACGTATAATACGGTATATGGCACTCCTGTTTGTTTTTATATGATATACTAGCATATATTCATCTTTATCAACCCTGTGAGACAAGATCTTTTTTTTTTAGTTAACATATACGAAGTTGACATTAAAAAGTAATAATACTATCTTATTATATTTGTATACCTCTTTAATATCAATTAATATATGACAACTGTTGATATTTAAGAGGGAAATTGTATAATATTGCTGATATAAATATGTGATTTACCTTCGGTTAATGTAATATCAACAAATTAGAATATAATTAGAATATGCACAGTATATCTTTTTCTATAAAACTTCACCTGTTTTTATCGTTCCTATTTTTTTTTTTTTTTTTTGGGTTTCATTAAGAGAAACCTTATTGTTCTCACAAAGTCAAAGTATATATAAAAAGAAAAAAAAAAAATAGAACGTTAGCTAAAAAAAATTACAAGAGTTATAAACAGTTATAAATAATTTGTTTAAAAAAAAATTTTTATACTTTTTTTATTTCTTATCTTTTACTTCTTCCCCTAGTCAACATAACTAATTCAAAAAGATGAAAGTAAAAGAACGCAATCCTGAAGCCTGTGAGGTCTGCCGCCACCGAAAACGAAGATGCTATGAAGGTATAAAAGGAGAGAAGTCATGCCATTACTGTACTAATAGTGGAAAGAATTGCTCTTATCTCTTTGAAAGTATAGAACATCCAATCGAAGCTATGGGAAGTAAGTGCAACCCTTTTTTCTATTTAAGAAGTCCATCATTAGCTGGTTAAAATGAATGATTTGAGAATGCATTCCTATATGAGTTGGATCACTATAGTAACAATATGCCAACGTTCTTTCATATCGTCGGTCTGTTTTGAAGCTGATATGACGATATTTGAAAATACTAATTATATAAAAAGATCTTATTCGTTCTACCTTCACCGAAGTATACTGCATACGTAATCTGTTTCACGTGATCACTTTCTTTTTGTAGCATTCGTGAATCTCTTGTGTTTAGTATTATTCCTATACAATTACTTCTTTAAGTGCGAGAACTATGTAACTGAGATACCGTTATATGTAACATGTAGTTCTCCGAAATAATCTTAAGGTAATTTGCACTTACGTTTTCCCGTCACATTCATGAAATATAGGTTCACCAAGTTCTTCCGCTACCCAATCGACATCAAATACAAATCTATTAGAAAGTAAGTTAAAATTTATAATGCATCATGATGGTATACAGGTGGACGCGCAATATTTTTGATCAACCTAATATATGATTATATATGTAAATGTATTCATTAATACAAAATCTAGACCGTCAATCTCTGAATAATATCTTACAATTGAATTACTCAGATGGATCAGATATATTACAAGGTGAAAACCAAAATCCATGCCCTATTTGATAGAATAATATAAATGCGTTCTTCTTACCCTGAAAAAATCCAGGTCACCAAGATCTCCTTTGCGAATCAGCTATATCACAAGGTAAAAATTAGAATCTTAATAATTTCATATGCATTGATTTTAACTTTATTACTAAAAAACTAACTGTGGTACCAAACAGAAGGTAAATAAGTTTCATTTATTGTTAATGGCCGAATAACTAAAAAATATTTAACTTTTTAATATTAAATAGAGTATCAAAGTATCATCGATTATTTACAAGGTATAATTATGATATTAAATGTGTATATTGATATGATAATATAAATGCATTGCTCACCTTAGATCTCATTTCCAATGTCTTCGTCAGGTAAATTAGCAGATCATGTGATTTTGTGCAAGTAGTTATAGCTATGCATAAATATAGGATATCAAAGTTCACAGTTTCAACACAAATAAATACGAATATACTGCAAGGTGGCAATAGGAAAATTATTCTTTATTATAATATAATACATTTATAGTAATATGAATGTATTTACTCACCTTAAATATCTTTATTCTCAATACGCATAGGCCACCAGTTTCAAGCCAATGATCCATCACATCAAATAGGTAAAAATTGTAGTAATTAATAACAATCTAACAAATAATTATTTACAAACTGGGTTATTTTTTAAAACTTTGGGTGAAGCTTTCACGACAACCTAATAATTTTCAATAAAATTTTTCTTATTTGAATTCTACAAGCTTGTAGAATTCAAATAAAAAAAATTTTATCGAAGTTTATCAGGTAATTGCTGAGAAAATTTAGCTCAAAGGTTTAAAAAAAATTTTTTATTAGGATTCTACAAGTTTGTAAATTCAAATAAAAAAAATTTTTATCGAAATTTATTAGGTGTTTGTTGAGAAAACTCAATTCAAAGTTTTTAAAAATTCAAGCAGCCTTGTTTATTGATAGATGGGATGACAACCACTTTGTAAATTTCGATAATTCTACAAGTTCTTAGAATTCAAATAAAAAATTCTTCATCGAAATGATCAGATGATTGTTGAGAAACTTATAAAAATTTATAACTTTACAGGCAGGATGAATTTTTCCGATCTTTGAACTAAGTTTCTAAATAATCACTTTTCGATGAAAAACTTTTTATTTGAATTCTACAAATTTGCAAAATTCGAATAATATATAGTTATTGGATGCGAAATAGCCAATAAAAATTTTCATCGAAGTTTATCAGGTGGTTGTCGAGAAAGCTTCGCTCAAAGTTTCGGAAAAGCTCATCTCGTCTATCAATAAACAAGTTTTGCTTAAATTTTTTTAAAACCTTGAATTATGTTTTCTCAACAAACACCTAATAAATTTCGATGAATTTTTTTTTCTACAAATTTGTAGAATTCGAATAAAAAAATTTTTATCAAAATTTATTAGGAAAAATTCATTCCGTCTATATCAATAAAGTTCCGCCTAAATTTTTTAAAAATCCGAACTAAGTTTTCTCGATAAAAATTTTTTTATTTGAATTCTATAAACTCGTAGAGCTCAAATAATCAAATTTTATGCGAAGGGTACCAAAGTCCATTGGCACAATGCATTACAAAGTAGAAATATTCATTTTTGATAAATGTATTTATAACAATATGAATGCTTACCTTAAAATATTATACTTTTTATTTCTAATACACGACATAGGTCATCAAGCCAATAGCTCATATTTGGTTTCACAAACACAATTTCACCGACCATTGTCAGGTAAACACTTCAATGACGATAATTGTTAATCAAATTAGCGATCTAATGGTTGGAACTACTACACGTGATTTTTTATGAAATATTGCAAGCAGTTACGATACAAATAAGTACAGATACACCGCAAGGTACGAATGTTAATTCATTATAAAAAAAATTTATGGTACATCTATTACTCAAAAAAAAAGATAGTTCAAAATGATTTTCGGATTAACAACTAGTTTCGAAATTCAAACCGAAATTACGAAAATCTTCGAGTAACAGGTGTGATTAGTGGGTATATAATATGTATATTTGCTTACCTTAAATCTTATACTTTTTTGTCCTAATATACAATATACTTTAGACCTTCAGTATCAAGTAAATAACCAATATATGGCTTCACAAACACAATTCCACCAAGCATCTTCAGGTAGATAAATTTATAGTTTCAATGATCCTAACATTGTATACTATCACATGGGGCGTTATCAATTGGACTAAGCCCAATTAAATTTGATCGAAATAGCAGATTAATGGAATTGAACTAAGTTCAAACTAAAATAAAAACCAATTTTACAACTTTGTAAAATTAATTTTCCCAGAATGATAAAATTATATAGTATGAAATTATTCAAATTGAAGTTTGGTCAATTGAAGCCCGAGTGTGTTGAAAGTCTGCTGACTATTACTGCCATTCTGTCAACAGTTTGTCAGCATTCGACTAGCCATATTTACGAAAGCTAATAGCATATTCGATAGAGAATTAATCCAACTTCAATTAGGATAAACTTACATCGATTCTATCGTTTTGACCTGTGTTAAAAAATCTTCAGTTTTAATATAAAATAAACGCATTATATGATTTTGTGGTCTATAGTTCCGATTTAATTAATGAACAGTTCCATTTGATTTATAAATCCATTTGTCGATAAGACAACACTGATCACACACGAGTTTTGTGAAATCTTACAAAATAGTTACTATTTTTAATTAAATCCAGAATGTCAAAATTCACAAATAAATACAAATGTATTACAAGGTAGAATTCACTATAATAGGTCGCTTTTTGTTAATTTAAATGTGCTTGCTCTCACCTTAAATTTTATTCCCAATATATCATATAGACTATCAAATGAATAACTCAAACATGGCCTCACCAACTCAATCTCAACAATTATCTTCAGGTAAATTAATGATTCGATCTATGATCGAAGCCCATTATGTAAGTTTTTCGTGAAACATTACAAAGTATTATGTTTTTTTTAATATTATGTATGTACTGTACATAAATCTAGATAACCAAAACCCGCAAATAAGTATAAATACATCACAAGGTAGAAATAAAAAAATTAATTCTCATGGTAAAGTAATATAAATTCATTTACTTATCTTAATTTTGGTTGGATTTTTAATACTATATAAATATAGGATATCAAAATCCACTATTATCGATACAAATAAATGCAAATTCATTACAAGGTAGAAATAAGAAAATCAATTCATTATTATAATAGACCGAAGTTTTACTTACCTAAAAATCTTATTTATTTAAATATATAATATAGGTCATCAATATCACATCAATAACCAACACATAACTCTACAAATACAATTACATCAATCACACCAATCGTCAGGTAAAATAGGAAATAATATAGGAAATAATAATTGTCGCGGCTGATACTGAAATTTGGAGCCTCAATTTGAAACAGTATTATAAACTTTAATCCTGGATACTTAAAACAAATTTAAAAAAATATTCCCAAATTTTTAAATTTCATTTTAAAATAGTCCAAATTTCAGCATCGTTAATCGAACCAACATATAACTTTTGTGAATAATTTTGCTGATATTTATTACATAACGATAAATCTAGAACATCAAAATCCACAATTATCGGCACAAATAAATGCTAATGCATTACAAGGTGAATAAGACAGATTTTTATTATAATAGAACGCAGTTATGTGAATGTGTTGGCTTTACTAATACAGTAATATATCACCAATTTCCAGCTAATAGTACACATGTGGCTTCGCAAACACAATTCCACCAGCCAATAGCGTTAAGTCAACTGTCAGGTAGGTCATCCCGTTAATCTTGTGATCAGGAACATGCAATTGTGTGTGAATGCAAATATGCTGTTATTAATATTATAGTTAAAATTAAAGATGCTCCTTGCACGAGATAAATTAGTAAGTTTATATAACTGACCAATTTAATCAGTGAATGTTGGTGACAGAATTGTCAGGTCGGGAGAAATGGATGCTGGCATATATCTGACTCTACCGATTTTAGCATTAGATTATGCATTCCTTTTATCAAATTTACAGTATTATATACAGTAGTATAAAAAGGAAATTGATCAGATAATTTTATGAAATTCATTAATGCAAAAATAACGTCACCATCTCGTGCGGAGGCAATCTCTCGTTAGGATTATAAAGAATCCATTATATACAATGAATTTTATTATTGATTGCATCGCATCCAATAACCATGACTAGCTATTCCCACATAAAATGTGTACAATAATACATAATGGAAGCTTTAATACTTACTCTCTCTATATTTAGGTCAACAACTGATAGCCTCTCAATTTCTGACAAACGCATTACAACCATTAATGGATACCAGTATATCAGAATATACGAATATGCAAAGAGGTAAATCAAGAAAATTAGTTTATTTACGGTGCATACGTAGATAGGACAATACGCATACATAATTTTATTTATACCTTCAAAACTTAGATAACTAAACGGCATCATAAAATTAAGGCACATTGCTTAATTCCTGAATCATAACCAACCGGCTTTATATACGCTGTCATTCAATTTGGGAGAGGGATTAAAAGAGAGGTCAACTTTCCATTTAGCTTTGACATTAGATATTAAATCTCGTCCATATTTCAATGCCAAATCAAGTAGTTCTTTTTCAGATTTTATTATATCTATAATTTTTCAAATATTTCAACGAATCTAATGCTCGAATTATGTAATTATACATTTTACAAGCTTTCAGTATGAATTTCTTTTATGTTTTTTTTTTATGTCTAATTTTAATGGAATATAGTATGTAGTATTAGGGAAAATATTGCTATAAATAAAGGATTTCGCGGAATAAATAAAGAATATTAAAGTATTTTACATAATAAAAGAAATATCAATTTCGCGAAGCGTGTCATAAAAGTTACCAATTAGGTAGTAAATTTAAATGAAAATGCAAATTTGGAAATAATAATTCTACGTAGAATTTCTCTGTAAACATTACCTAAAAATTAAATAG